CTCTCTTCCTCCCACATCGTTCTTTCCTTTCCTTTTCTTATCCTCTCTTTCATATCCTCAAAACATTTCCTCGCTAAACTTCCTCCCCTTCCTTCCTCCAACTTCCTCTCATATATGAGAGGAAGTTTTAAATCTTCTAATAAATTAATAAAAGAAAAATTGAAATAATGTTAAATTAAATAGGTACGAAATATGAAACGCATTTCCGGACCATACGCGGTTAGTGGTACGTTGATCTTGTAGAATTTTCAGATTTCTACGAGATTTAAATTATATACACAAGGGGCACAAGTATTACTTGGTTAATACCAAGATTTTTAATATTACTTTGAGATAAACACAAACAGACAACCGAACGCAGAACCCTTCTTTATCCCCCTAACGATTAGTAGACGAGGAAAAATATCGGGTCAGAAGAGTCGCAGAATCGGGAATAAATAAATGTTAAATTAATTTGTAAATATATTTGTTAAATATATATTAAATATATACAGGGTGTTAAAAAAGTGTCGCATTTGCTCAGCACCATTCGATAGAGAATGAAAATCTAAGAGAAAATGTCTAATACTATTTTTCGATCTGATGAATAATTTCACCGCAATTAATTATTGTAATCAGTCAATCAGCGCGGAGTTACAAGAGTAAGTCAGGGGCGGGCGCGCGAAGTTAGCTGCGGCGCGGCGGCAACCGCGCTCACGTATGGTACGCAGTTTTACTTTTTCATAGCATAAACAATATTCCATTTAATATAAAAAGATTAAATGATTAATTGTCTTATAAAATATAAATGAAATAAATTTATGTTAATACATAAAAATAATTCGGTGAATTAAAATTATGTCGAGACAAAATAAAAATTCGGAATTATTATTATGTGGCAATATAATTTCAATTTATCCAATTTTTATTATGTGGCGATATAATAATAATTCGATGAATTAAAATTATATCGCGATATACAGATATTTCGGTGAATTAAAATTATGTCGAAACATAATAAAAGTTCGATAAATTAAAATTATGCCTGGGTATAAAAATATTCCCTAATTTTTATTATGTCTTGACATAATTTAAATTTATCGAATTATTATCATGTCGCGACATAATTGTAATTCATCGATCTGTTCCCAAGTAACACAGTCTGGCTATATTCGCTGCAACAGCAAAAATGTAGCTAGTAAAACGTTCTGCCAGCCTTAATTACATCTATTTGGCTGCAAATGCTATTTTGCTGGATTTTTAACTGTAAAAGCGCTGCGATAGTTAATAAAAGAGTCAAAATACAGCCACAGCAATTTTAGCTATATTTATAGCTGTAAAGTCGCTGTGACAACGATCCGAAAATCCAAAATACAGCCACAGCAATTTGAGCTGTATTTATAGCTGTAAAGTCGTTGTGACAGCGATGTGAAAATCCAAAATGCAGCCACAGCAATTTTAGCTATATTTATAGCTGTAAAGTCGCTGTGACAACGATCCGAAAATCCAAAATGCAGCCACAGCGATTTTAGCTGTATTTATAGCTGTAAAGTCGTTGTGACAGCGATCTGAAAATCCAAAATGCAGCCACAGCAATTTTAGCTGTATTTATAGCTGTAAAGTCGCTGTGACAACGATCCGAAAATCCAAAATGCAGCCACAGCGATTTTAGCTGTATTTATAGCTGTAAAGTCGCTGTGACAACGATCCGAAAATCCAAAATGCAGCCACAGCGATTTTAGCTGTATTTATAGCTGTAAAGTCGTTGTGACAGCGATCTGAAAATCCAAAATGCAGCCACAGCAATTTTAGCTGTATTTATAGCTGTAAAGTCGCTGTGACAACGATCCGAAAATCCAAAATGCAGCCACAGCGATTTTAGCTGTATTAATATTAATGAAAATTATATCATGACATTAAAAAAGTTGAAAACTAGTTTGAACCATTTTGTTTTTGAGATTATATAGAGTGTGAATAAAAGTCTTTAAGATGAAAAAAACACTATTAAACGATTTACAAAAATTTCAAAAATTCAAAAAAAGTAGTACGTTTTACAGAAAAATTGAACAGCACATAAAGAAAACTGATAGTGTAAAATCAAATTTTGGAAGAGATAAAACACCGGATGAGAAATCTATCGCTTCAATATCAAATTTAGTACAAAATGTTGAAAGATTAACAGAAGCATCTGTTTTGTTTGAAGATTTACCGCATAATATATCGCATAATAAAAATCAAAACGAAAATGTAAATTTTGATTGTTGGAGCTATTGTAATACTGAATCATCAGATAATGACAATCTACGTGAAGATCTAAAGGACGAGTGTATTGATATACGAGAGGCAGTAAAGGAATGGGCACTGACATTTAATATATGCCATAATGCACTAAAGGCATTACTGAATATTTTAATTGAGTTAAAAATACCACATATGCCTCGAGATCCAAGGACACTATTGGAAACACCAAGGTCAGTGAATACTATAAGGATGGGAAACGGACAATATTGGCACAATGGACTACAGACTTGTCTTAAAAAGTGTTTAACTAATGTAAAAAACTCGATGGATATTGCACTCAATTTTAATATTGATGGATTACCAATTCACAATAATTCAAAGATGCAGTTTTGGCCAATATTGTTTTCAATACATGATTCGAATATTGAACCTATGATTATTGGAATTTATTGCGGAGAAAGTAAACCTCCAACTCCTGATGAGTTTTTAACTCCTTTTGTCGACGAATTATTAATTATTTTAAATAATGGCATTATCATCAACGGATATAAAATTAGTATACATATTCGATGCTTCATATGTGATACTCCTGCCAGATCTTTTATTAAAGGTAATAAGTTACAGAGAAAATTTATTATTAGAGACAATAAAATAGAATAAATAGAAATATTATTAGAATAATTAAGTGTACTGAATATTTTACAATATTTATAGTGTGCATACTTTTTCTAAATAATTATATTTAATTTTATTATAATCTTTTTTACAGGTACTGTTAATTTTAATGGCTATAATTCGTGTCTGAAATGTACGACTACGGGTGAATATTATCATAAAGATCATCGAATAAGTTTTCCACGCATAGACATGCCTAGAAGAACTGATGCATCTTTTCGCAACAGAACCGATTCAGATCATCATAAAATGAATACACCTTTGGAAAAACTTCCAATTGACATGATAAAAAGTATTCCGGTATCCGATTCATTGCATTTATTAGATCTAGGTATAATAAAACGTTTATTAACTGGCTACGTATATGGAACTTTGGGCTTGAAAACTAAATGGTCTGCAAATGTAACTAAATCGGTATCTAATTTTCTCCTTCGGTGTAGAATGCCAAGTGAAATTCATCGAGCTGTTAGAGGACTTGATTGTTTAAAATTTTGGAAAGGGACAGAGTATCGAACCTTTGGTTTATACCTAGGTCCTGTTATATTAAAAGATTATCTATCCGAAGAAATATATCAACATTTTATGTTATTTTTTTGTGGTGTTGTAATTTGTTCTAGCAAGTCATATTCAAACTATTTGCATGTAGCAGATCAGTTATTTAAAATTTTTATAGAACATTACATTAAAATTTACGGTATAAATTCTATTAGTAGCAACGTACATAATCTTTGCCATTTAGTTGATGAAGTAAAGGATTTCGGCGATTTGTCTACCTTCAATGCATATCCATTTGAAAATTGTTTACAAAAAATTAAAAAATTGCTCCGGACAGGAAACAAGCCATTACCGCAAATAGCTCGACGAATTTTTGAAATGAATTTAATACAAACTCCAAATTATAATAATAAAAAATTTCCTATCTTAAAGAATAAAAATTCTGGCAATAATTGTGATCAAAATAAATATAAGCATTTTTTTACAAAGTCGAATTAATGGACGGAATAACACTAACAAATGAAGATAGAAACAAATGGTTCTTGACAAAAAAAAATAAAATTATTGGTTTGAAAAACGTGACGAGTTTTGAAAATAAAATTTATATATTTGGTTCGTGTTTGAAAGAAGTAAGTAATTTTTTTGAAACGCCGATTGCATCATCTTATTTAAATATATTTTGTTCAAACCGCAAGGAACATGTACCCAAATGGTATGATATAAAAGACATTAAATGTAAATTAGTGGCAATAGAATATCACAAAGATACTGTATTTTTCCCGCTAATACATACTTTGGATTTATGTAGCAAATTAAACACATAGTTAAACGCCAAACAGATCACACACATAAGTATCTTATTTTATATTATAATATCTTTATATAATAATATCTTATTTTATATTATCATTATTATATAACAATAATATTTCAAACTTTTTATAATTAAAAATTATTATAATTATGTAAATAAACATTAAGTAACTTTTTTAAATTGCTTTAAATAAACCAAAAAACTTAAACATTTTGTAATTTATAGTAATAAAATTGTTTTGTTTCTCGTTGGTAAAACCTTGTATAGAAGGTTCGCACACCAAGGCGGTAGTTTTTGTTAATGGTCACTCGCGGATTTGTTTTAATATACTTTTATTTAAATCACAAATTATAACAAGAGTGTTAGAAACGAGGCGGACGATATTTCAACAAAAGGTGTATTGATCTATCTCGTCTCGTGGCTGGACGCTCAATAATGATCCGAGACACGTAGCCAAGGCGCGAAGCGAGAATTTTGGGGATTTGCGCAGGCGATTCGCGTCGAGCAAAGGAAAAGACAGGCGAGTAACACGTGGATCACATGTGTTTTTGACGTGTTGTCCCGCGTTGGCGCGAATAATTACTGAGATGTCGAACGATAATATAAACGGAGAATTGAACGACCTATACTTTAGGATTAGGCTTATTCCTGAACATACCGCCCGCCTCGAATGTAGGCATTCGAAAAAGTACAAATGGTTTAACAATAATAAAAGACATAATGGAATAAACGCTGTACAAAGAATATCAGTATCTCGTAGATACTTCAATAACAAAGAACGGGGTGTTAGCGCATATTAAGACGAGATTCCGCCCGCCATAACGGAATCTTTTACTTCTTCGGTATTAATCGCAACAGGCAAGAAGCATAGTTTCACGATCGGTCGTTTATATTCAGAACGGGAGGTTTTGACCGTGACAACGCGCGTCAGGCCATCTTCTCCTGGATGACAGGCGACAATTCGTCCAAGGTCCCAATGGCTGGGCGGAGCCAAGGGATTACGCACTAGGACTATTTGGCCAACTTTGGCAAGTCGCTGGATAACGCGCCATTTTGGGCGTTGTTGAAGAGAATGCAAGTAATCGCTTGACCAGGACCGCCAAAACTCTTCCGTCAGACGTTGAATCATTTGCCAACGCGACAATCGATTCTCGTTAAATTCAAGCACGCTTGGTTCGGCGGGAGCGAGAAGAGAGGTACCGATCAAGAAATGACCAGGCGTTAACGCGTGATAATCGTCAGGATTATCGGAGACGGGAGCGATCGGACGAGAGTTTAAGCAAGCTTCAATGCGACAAAGAAACGTGGTCATTTCTTCAAAAGTTAATGTATGGAGGCCGATGCAACGCTTTATGTGGTATTTGACGCTCTTGACCCCGGCTTCCCACAGTCCGCCGAAATGTGGTGCGGCCGGGGGTAGGAACTGCCACGCAGTTCCATCGCTAGCGAGACGATTACGAAAGCTTGGATCGCGAATTGCTTTCGCGTGAGCTTCGGATAATTCTCGATTAGCGCCATGAAAGGTTGTACCGTTGTCTGAGTACATGGACTGCGGTAGTCCTCGGCGGGAGACAAATCGCTGGTACGCTGCAATAAAGGTCGGCGAGCTGTAATCGGAAACAAGTTCTAAATGCATAGCCTTGGTCGTTAAACATATGAACAGCGCAATGTAAGCCTTTTGCGATTTGTGTCCTCGGCCGGGCGCGGTTCGGACAGTGATTGGTCCAGCGTAATCAACGCCAGTATGTATAAATGCGCGAGCGGCACGGTTAACTCTCGCCTCCGGTAGATCGCCCATGAGTTCGACAGGTTTTTTAGCGCGCTCACGAGTGCATTGTACGCACTGATACAGAACAGCACGAACGGTAGCGCGAGATCGGAGGATCCAAAATTCATTACGTAATGAAGCGAGTGTTAATTGGGGACCAGCATGTAACGTTCTGAGATGATGATGCTGAATAATAAGAACTAGCAATGGATGTGCTCGTAATACGAGCGGATTCTTCGTCGTTTCTGAAAGGCAAGCATGACGGAGCCGTCCTCTGATGCGAAGAAGTCCGTCAGCGTCTAAATAAGGATTGAGTGTGGATAAGGAACTAGTTTTTTGTAACGGAAGTTGCCGTTGTAAAGTCGAGATTTCAACGGAAAACATCTCGGATTGCATAACTCGGAGCCAGTAATGTTTGGCTTTCTGGATCTCTTCGGGATGGAGGATCGCTTGTGAAGACGATGCGCTTTTAGAGGATCGGAGTCGATAAAGAAAACGGTAAAGATAAGCGGTAATTCGGAGCAATCGAGGCCACGAAGAATAACGTGATGCGAGATCCCAACTAGGGGTTACATGTAAAGAATGAATAGGTGGTTGAGAACGCTGTTCAAGGGCGGTCTCGGCTGGTATCGAGAGCTCGCAAGTCGGCCAGGATTCTGGAGATTGGCAAAGCCATGAAGGACCTGACCACCATAAATTATAATTTGCGAGAGCATGGGGAGCTAGACCGCGAGAAGCACAATCGGCAGGATTGTCCTGCGTTGGAACATGACGCCAAGAAACTTCAGGCAGCAAGGACTGAATGATCGAAACGCGATTGGCAACGAAAGTTTTCCATCGAGATGGAGACTGACTTAGCCAAGCGAGTGTGATGGTTGAGTCGGTCCAACAGTGACATTCGATACTCGGAAGTTGAAGAGCGGACCGCACATAATTAACTAACCGAGCGAGAAGGAGCGCCGCCGACAATTCCAATCGGGGAACGCTTATCGTCTTGAGGGGAGCCACTTTCGATTTTGCGATGAGAAGAGAGATGTTAATTGAGCCGTCGACATTAACAACGCGAAGGTAAACAACGGCTGCGAAAGCCATAGTTGAGGCATCGGAAAAGCCATGGAGTGCGCTGTGCAGAGTATGAGATCCGTGCGTCGTCCAACGCGGAATACTGAGCGTCTCGAGATGCGGTAGTTGGTGATGATAAGTTGCCCAGTGGTCGAAATGTTCACCCGGAATGTCGTCGTCCCACTGACATTGGATCGACCACAATCGTTGCATAAAGATCTTTGCACCGATGATGACGGGAGCGGCCCATCCCATCGGATCGAAAAACCCAGCGATTGTCGAGAGAATAGCTCTTTTCGTTTTTCCCGGCGAAGACGGAGAGATACGCGAAGTTGAAACGCATCGAGCTTTGGATTCCAACTAACTCCTAACACTTTAAGGTGTTCATCGTCTTGGAGGACTTTGTGAGTGGCTAGTCCATGATCGGCAGGATCGAGGTCTGACAAAAGATCTGGAGAATTACTTGCCCACTTTCGTAGGCGAAAGCCTCCTTTAGCGAGAAGCGCGATTAATTGGTCTCGTGTTTGCCGTGCAAGGATATGATCGTCGGCTCCGAACGCGCAATCATCAACGTATGTTTGATGACGTAGAACAGGGACGGCCAACGGAAATTGAGCACCGTCATCTTCAGCGAGTTGGTCTAGCACTCGAAGAGCGAGATACGGAGCGGCGGCAGTGCCGTACGTCACGGTAAGAAGACGGTAGTCGCGAACAGGTTCGCTGGGAGAAGAGCGCCATAGAATGCGCTGGTAATCAGTATCGCGGAAGTCAACTAAAATTTGACGATACATTTTGGCGATATCGGCGGTAAATACGTAACGATATTGGCGCCACTGCATTATGACAGCGGCCAAATCCTTTTGAAGTTTAGGTCCGATAAACATATTATCGTTTAACGAGGTTCCGTTAGTGGTACGGCAGGATGCATTAAAAACAACCCGCAGTCGAGTAGTTGCACTACTGTCACGTAAGACAGCATGATGCGGTATGTAATAACTTTGATCCGGTTGGACAATTTCTGTCGGTGGAATTTTGATCATATGACCAAGGTTTTCGTATTCCTTGAGAAAGTCGTGGTATTCTGAAGCGATAGATGGATTGCGTTTGAAACGTCGCTCTAAGCGATAGAGGCTCGATTCGGCAATGAAGCGAGATTCTCCTAACGAGAGTGGTGGTCCGGTTTTAAACGGTAATCTAACAATATAGCGTCCTTGAGGAGTGCGGGAATGGGTAGCGAGAAAGTGCTCTTCACACTTGCGCTCGTCAGGGCTATGATGTTGGGTCTGAGGGACCTCTTCAGTCTCCCAGAAACGACGAAGGTCGAAATCTAACGCTTCAAGGACGACTCCGTGATGCGCGGTCTCAAAAATCGAAAGATTGGTCGGGGACGAAGCGATTGGCCCGGACAAAATCCAACCGAGAGTAGTATTTTGCGCGGTGGGCTCCGTTTCGGAACCTTGTCGAACACCATCGAGTACGAGCATGCCGTATAAATCCGCTCCGATTATCATATCAATCGGGTCGGTACTCATGGGGTCACTATCCGCTAATTGGAGTCCGTCGACATGGTTCCACGTACCCGTCGTGCTTATTCGATTCGGTACATATTTTGTCAACGATCGAAGAATGAGTGCGGTCGTTGAATAAGCGGGTTCGTCGCGATTCGCCGGCGTAATTGTAAGATGAGCGGCGTGACGGACAACGGATTGCATCTCGCTGATGCCGGTGACGAACATTGAACGATTTATTTTAGAGAGTCGTAAACGTTGCGCGAGCGATTCGGTAATAAACGTAGAAACGGAACCTTGATCCAGAAGTGCGCGTGCAGTTATAAAACGTCCAACAGGCGAATAGACTCTCACCCGGGCAGTCGCAAGCAAAATATTAGAATTAGGCGCGACGGTTTTCGATAGTAAATGCGACATGACTTCGTTTACATTTGCGCTTGTTGCTGGCGGTGACTCCGTTTGCACCGGCGGAGTCGAATTATCGAAATGTAATAACGTGTGATGACGTTTATTACACTGGCGGCATACGCGCGAATTCGAACAATCTTTGACGGAATGCTTACTACTAAAACAGTTTAAACATCGTTTTCGCTGCTTAATAAAATCGAAACGTTGAGAGGGTGTTTGCTTTAAAAATGTCGAACATTGGTATAATAAGTGATTGGCCTTGCACAACGGACATGCGAACGAAACGGTGGACGCGGTATGCGACACAAGAATTTTTCCTTTAGAGGTAGAGGATGGTTTTTCTTTAGAAAGTGGTACGATCGCCTCGAGAGCGCGAATTCGAGACTCAAGAAATTGATCGAGCTCATTATAACGCGGATATTCCACCGTATCGCCGAGCTTGAGTTCCCAAGCTTTACGCGAGTATTTATCGAGTTTTTGTGCGACGAGCAAAACAAGCAAATCATCCCAATGTTCGACAGGACGGTTGAGATTTCTAAGCGCTTGGATTGCTTTGTTTGTTTGGTCGCGAAGCTGACGAAGGTCATGAGCGGTTTCTGTGGTCAGTAACGGCAAATTTAACAGCGATTGTAAATGCGTTGTAACAAGACGACGTTTGTTGTCGTACCGAGAGACTAGAATTCTCCACGCGACGTCGAAATTATTATTGGTTACCGCGAGGTGGTCAAGCGCGTTACTTGCATCCCCTTTTACACATGAGCATAAATAATGTAAGCGATCGACATTTGACAAACTAGGATCATTATGAATCATCGACTGGAATTTATCGCGAAAGCTTTCCCACTTGTCGATGCTCCCGTCGAAGGTCGGTAGGTTGATCCTCGGAAGATGCGACGCGGGTCGGAAAACATCATGCAAGCCACTTACGTTTTGTGATGATGTAGCGGGAGGGATGCGGGATTCGTAGCTCTCTAATACCTCAGCCATGTAGTCGGCAGCCTCGTTGTAGCAGTCCTCACATTCCAGAAACGAATTCTTTGTGAAGTAGGTATGCGATGCTTTGTCGTCATCGTCCGCATGAAGCCCGATTCGACTGTCGAGCTCCTGGCAAGTGGCAAAGGCTTCCTTCAAGGTGACGAGACGTTGACGTGTCACCGCAGGTGTCATTTTGGCTTGCCCCAGCTTCTTGTAATTGATGAGCGCCCGTGATACGAAACTCATCTTCTGTGTTTGCAGAGCCAAAAGCTCTTCGAAAGATGTCGAGGTGTTCATATCGACGATCGTGATTCGGAATGCCAATAATTGTCCTTGGCGACGATCCGGCTCGAAGGACCAAAATGTTTTGTTTCTCGTTGGTAAAACCTTGTATAGAAGGTTCGCACGCCAAGGCGGTAGTTTTTGTTAATGGTCACTCGCGGATTCGTTTTAATATACTTTTATTCAAATCACAAATTATAACAAGAGTGTTAGAAACGAGGCGGACGATATTTCAACAAAAGGTGTATTGATCTATCTCGTCTCGTGGCTGGACGCTCAATAATGATCCGAGACACGTAGCCAAGGCGCGAAGCGAGAATTTTGGGGATTTGCGCAGGCGATTCGCGTCGAGCAAAGGAAAAGACAGGCGAGTAACACGTGGATCACATGTGTTTTTGACGTGTTGTCCCGCGTTGGCGCGAATAATTACTGAGATGTCGAACGATAATATAAACGGAGAATTGAACGACCTATACTTTAGGATTAGGCTTATTCCTGAACAAAAATATATTCTTACTAAAATTGCATCATGTATGTATAATAAAAATAAAGATTCATCTTATAATAAATCAAAATTTTTCATTAATATTACCATTATTTACTTAAACAGTAGCGACAATAATTAAATTCCATCACTATTTTCGGTTGTTTTTTCCTCTATATTTTCATCGTAAATGTTACCACCTTCAAGAATTCTCATCACATTGTTATCATATTCATTATCATTAGCTTCTTCAGAATTTTTATTTTGTTTACTAAAAATAATTATAAATAATTACAAATAAATATGTATGTGTACTTTTAAAAATTATATTTCCAAATTATATTTTTAAATTCCTACTTACTTCTGTTGCTTTTGAAGCTGCTTGTTTCGGCTAACACCGCTACCACCAATAAATATGCTATTTTATTTCCATCCTTCTGACCAGTAGTGCCTCCAATTTCACTCATCACTTTTATCTAAAACATTAGTATTAGAGTATTAATATTTATTATATCAGTATATTAGTTATATTATTTATATCACACAGTATATTAGTTATATTAGTATTTATTTATATATTATTTAGTATTTATTTATACAATATTGAAAGTATAGAAACTTACAAATGCCAATTTGAATTCTTCATTGCACAGTTTTTTTTCTAAATTATTAATATCCGATTCTATTGCTAGTGGTTTTATTTGTTGTATATCTCTTTCGAGGTTTTCGTTTTTTAATGCATCATTTTCGGATTTCTCAATGATGTTGCTTTGATTTTTAATCAAAAGATCGATTAATTTATCAAATTTGACATGTAGCGCAGATATTTCTCGATGAATATAATTATTCAAATTTTCCAGATTTGAATTTATTGTGTTTAATTTTTCTTCTACTGAAAAAGAAAACATTTAACAATGTGTTATATAATATTAAATAGATAATAATATCAGGAGACGCGGTAGTGTCTCCGGCCATGTTCAAACCTTAAAAGACCTTAAAAGACAAGTCTCCTTATCCTGCACCATCAAAGTCCATTTTTTGGGGGTGTAGAACTACTAAAATATAAAAAATTTTGAATTGCACGTAATATAACCTGAAAAGCGGCATCGCCACGAGTAATTTGAGCCAAGAAAAAATAAAATCGGTCAAGCCGTTCTGGAGATACAAGCGGTCAAAAAGTGACGTTTTTCATGAAAAATGAAGTAACGTCATCTTCTTCTTCTTCTTCTTCTTCTTTTCTTTTCTTCTTCTTCTCTGTCGCGTATAAATCTCTTCTCACCTTTCACTCACACCTACCTCAACTTCCACCCACCCCTTTTCCTCCACCCCCACCCCCGCCCCTCTTTCGCCTTTTTCACCTCTTTCATTCCCTCTCACCCTCTCGTCCTCTTTCACCCTCTTCCACCCTCTTTCGCCCTCTTCATTCCCTCTCACCCCTCTTTCGTACTCTTTCACCCTCTTTCGTCCTCTCCTCCCCCTCTTTCATTCTCTCTCACCCTCTTTCACCCTCTTTCATTCCCTCTCACCCTCTTTCATTCTCTCTCACCCTCTTTCGTCCTCTTTCACCCTCTTTCGTCCTCTTTCACTCTTTCGTCCTCTCTCACCCTCTTTCATTCTTTCTCACCCTCTTTTACCCTCTTTTGTCCTCTTTCACCTTCTTTCACTCTCTTTCGTCCTCTCTCACCCTCTTTCATTCTTTCTCACCCTCTTTTGCCCTCTTCTATCCTCTTTCGACCTCTTTCACACTCTTCGTCCTCTCTCACCCTCTTTCGTCCTCTTTCACCTCTTTCGTCTCTCTCACCCTCTTTCGACCTCTTTTTCGTCCTCTTTCACCCTCTTTCGTTCTCTCACCCTCTCTCACCTCTTTCACCCTCGTACGTCCTTTCTCACCCTCTTTCGTTCTCTTTCACCCTCTTTCGCCTATCTCGTCTTCTCTTACCCTCATTCGTCCTCTCTCACCCTATCTTCAAAAAATCATAAAAATGAAAAGGTCAAGCCATGTTCAAAAGAAGGTCCTCAAAAATTTAAACCTAGTCTGTACAATGAAAAATAATTACTCGTAATTCCAGAGTTCCAATTTGTTAATATCGAATAATGTATTTGTTTCAAGTAATGGCAGTAGAGTCAAATACATACCTACGTATATGCAGTTTTGCTGTTAATTGTACTTGAACGAAAAAAAATAATTAAATGATTTAAATATAGCACATTTTAAATCAAGAAACTTATATAATCGAACTCTGTTTAGGAAAAGGTAGAACATTTCATTTGCCTCTGCCTTTACAAGAAACATTGGATAAGGTATGTCCTCCGGAAGATCCTATAAATTTGAATCACGAGTTGCACATTCTCGTTCGAGGTATACCCAAGAAATCTAAAGTGGTTTGGTAGATATTAATAAAATGTATAAGGCTTTACAATGGTTAAAAGAAAATAATCCTCATTACTCAAAAATTCGTCTTCCAGCGTCATCTGATGATCTATTAAAGGATAAGTTGCAGAAAACAGAATATAGGATTGTCGATGAGGAAAGCGACAATGACGAAATAAATGAGGTGGTTGAGGAATTACCAGCATTGAATTTGTACAATGTACAGCAAACAACAAATAATAATGATCAAACCGTTTTAAAAGTACGGCTTTTCTCACACAAATCACTGAACATTTGGATATTAACGATAAGTATACAATATACCCAATACACGCGAAAAAAATCGATAACGAATCTGCATTGAAGCTTTATCAAATGGTGAAAATTGAAGATTTTCCAATGGATAATCGTTATAAATATCTGGATGTCATGTGTTTCCCTGATTTATATCCTGATGGTGTCAATGGACAACGAGAAGATAGAAACTTTGCATTGCCGGAATATTTATTTATTAGAACACGATTGATGTCGAAACATAGTAGATTCAGGTTGAATCTGCAGTATCTGTTCTTCCTTCTCAATGATGCTAACTACCGACAGTTGAAAAGTGGTATCTATTATACGATGATGGTTACTAACCCACGAGGAGATACACTGCTGGTAGATACTTGAACGAATTGAAAGGTTACCAATTAGAATCGAATTTAATGAGTATTTTCGCAAAATTGAGAAATACGGATCAATTTTGGCGACAACCGTCCAATAATGTAAAATGCATGACTTTGCATTACGGTCCAGCGACGTGGTTTTTGACTTTGAGTCCTAGTGAATGGAAATGGTCCGATTTGGGTGAATATTTACGAGATATGAATCCCGATAAAGAGAAGTTAGGCATCAGCGAACTAATCGCATACGATCCTGTAAGTACTTCTAGATTCATGTGCATAAAATTCAAAGCCATGATTGATTTTATTTGTTCGTCCGATAATCCAATAGGAAAGGTTATTCATTACTTCTGGCGACTGGAATATCAACGTAGAAGTATCCAGCACATGCATTGTATGATTTGGATAAAGATGCTCCAGTAATAGGAAATCCCGCCGGATGAAGAAGTTGCTACGTTATTCAAAAATACGTAACGTGTGAAATTCCAGATGAAAATGTCGCCAACGTTGTACGATACGGTAATAAGTGATCAGAATCATAAACATAACTCGTATTGCATGCGTACGAAAAAAACGGAAACTAATATATACAGAAAGTGTCGGTTCGATTTTCCTCTCGGCCAGTTACTGAGAATTTCGTTTTAAGAGACGTTATCACTTCGATAGTCGGTAGAAAAAATTTACGCAGTAAGAGCAGATTGTACGATCTTCCTCGCAAGGAGTCGGAAAGGTTTATAAATGATTATAATCCGTCTATCAAATTAGCCTGGGAGGGAAATATGGACATACAATTTATTAGAGAAAAATCAGAGTTTTTAAACTCATATTTAACAAAATACACGACAAAGTCGGAAAAATGCAATACAGACTTTGAAGTGATAGATTCGAATAAGTCCTTGGCATCGAAACTGTGGAATTTTGCAATGCGTTCATTAAATAACAGAGAATGCGGTGGCTTTAGAAGCTGCGGATACACTATTAGGGAATCCCTTGTACGGTACGTGATAATGATACCATGGTCAATGGATCGATGTTAA